CCAGGCCAAGGAGGATCACGACTTGGTCGAGAAACTGCGGCAGGATCTCGCTCATATGGTGGAAGAGATCAAGTCTGCTAAAATCACAATGGAGAGCTACAAGATGGAGCGTGACATGTTCCGGCGACTTCTTCAGCAGCGTGGCGCGGGCGAAGATCCTTCATCTTCTCTCATGCGCCACTCTATCGGAGGGGGAATGCCTGTCACCAGCATTGAGTCCGTGGAGCAGACTGAGACATTGACAGAAGCCTTGCGCAAAATCCAGTCTGAATACGACAGTTTCAGAGACGCCCAAGATGGTGCACGGAAGGACTTTAGAGATCAAATCAACCATCTGACAGCAGAGAAGAATTCGCTTCAGACTGCCAACATCAAACTGCAGGGTGAGGCCAGACTGGAATCTGAGCGACGAGAGATGTTGCAGAGCAATTATATTGCCCTCCAGAATGAGAACAGTGAGCTCCAGAAGCGAACTCAAATACTGTCCGAGATGGCCGCCAAACAGGACATTCGTGTCCAGCAGGTTGCTGAAGAGCTTGTTGAAGTCAAGGGCCTCCTGGACAGCATGCGAAACGAAACAGCCAACCTTAAGGCGGAGAAGAAGCTTTGGAAGGATATTCAGGAGCGAATGAGCAAGGACAATGATTCTTTGATTGAGGAGAAGAATAGATTGGGCAGCCTCTTGACTGCTCAGCAGTCCCTCGAAAATGAGCGCAACATTACCGAATCTGAGGCTCGCCGCAAGGCTCAAGCCAAGATTGAATCTTTGGAGCTTGACCTCAGTATTGTGCAAAAGAAGCTTTCTCAAACCTCGGATGATATTCAACACCTTCAACAGCGGAAAGAATACGAGGCTAAGGAATCTCAGAAGCGGATTGACGACCTTATGACGAGCCTGAGCCAACTTCGAGAAGAGCATGTCAGCGCCAAGACAACTCGTGATCATCTCCAAGCCCGCGTTGACGAACTGACCGTGGAGTTGCGAAGCGCCGAAGAGCGTGCCGGCCGCCTGCAGCCGCGTCCCACGCCCAGGCCAGGCCTCATGACTGATGACAACCTGCGCCAGCAAGAGCTCGAAGCCGAGGTTCAAGATCTCAACAACGACATTTCAGACCTCAAACGTGATCGCGACATGGCCAACACGCAGCTGGAAAACGCAAAGGCTCAGGCTGAGCAGTACAAGGAACTGAGCCAGAGCAACGAGGAGGCGCTGGAAGACTTGCGTGCATCGCAAGACCAATACAGACAAGAGATTGAGGCTCTCATTCAAGAGAAAGATAACAGGATCAAGGAGCTGGGTCAACAGGTTGAAGATTTGTCTGCTGAACTCTCACGATCCAACACCGAACTATCTACCATCCGCGACTCCCAAGGCGAAGTTGCACGAAAGTACGAAGACGAGAAGACGATACTGGAGGAAGAAGTGAAGCGACTCAAGGAAGAAAGCAGCCGGCACATTGAGGCTGCCCGATACCATCAGCAGGACTTGCGTGCTCAAGCCGAGATTGCTTCGAAAGCACAGCAAGACTACGAAAAGGAGCTTGTCAAGCACGCTGAGGCCGCCAAACTGGTCCAGGAGCTCCGCACCGAGTACAACGAGTTCAGGCAAGAGTCAGCATCACTGCGCGCCGAAGCAGAGTCTGCCAAGGTCGCGCTCGCGCAAAGTGAGAGCTCGTGGGAAGACCGGAGGCAACAGTTGGAGCAGGAGATGACTGAACTCAAGCAAAGACGCGAGGATGCCAACGCCCAGAACTCGCTTGTGCGCCAGAAACTGGACAGTTTGACTGAAGAGATTCGACGTATGCAGAAGGAGCATAACGAGAAGGCTGATGCGGGCGAAGCCATGCCAGCCATTGGCGTAGACGATGCTATCGAAAGCGTACGAGAGCTAAACGCATATCTGCAGCGTGACAAGGAGATCCTGGAAGTTCAGTATGACATAAAGCTCAACGAGTCGAAGCGATTACAGCAGCAGGTCGAATACCTGCAATCACAGCTTGATGAGGCGCGTCTGAAGCTCGACCAAGAGCGCCAGTCCTCGCAGAGCGGCAACACCTCTATGGCTCATAAGGATCTCATGGACAAGTTGAATGAACTCAACACCTATCGCGAGAGCGGCATGGCTCTCCGAACGGAGAACAGCCAGCTAAAGAAACAGATTTTGGAGAAGGACAGCAAAATCGAAGAAATGGTCCAGAGCATCCAGCCTCTTGAAGCTGAGATTGAGAATATAAAGACACAAAAGTCCTTCTTGGAAGAAGAAATTAAGCAGATTCAAGCAGACCGTGACCGTTGGCAGAAGAGGACTGAGGGTATCTTGACCAAATACGGCCGCGTTGACCCGGCTGAGATGGAGCAGCTGAAACAGACCATTACCGACCTCGAAACAGAGCGAAATGCTCTCAAAGAAAGCGCAGAGCCCCTCCAGGCAAAGATTACCGAACTCGAGTCCACACTCGAGACTGAACGAGCCAACTGGTTGAATGCTCGATCAAGACTCACAGAACAGTTCAAGGAGCGATCTCGCAAGCTCACTGGCGAAAAGAACGAGCTTAACCAGCGAGCCATTACCTTGCAGGAGCAGCTTGACAAGGTGACCAACGATCTTGCTGGAGCACAGCAGCAAGTGGAACATTCTGTCGAAGAAAAGGCAGAGCTGTCGAGACAAGTTCACTCTTTCCAGCAAAAGGTTGAAGAGCTTCGCCGACAGGCTCAGCAAACGCAGCCTGCAGCTACGCCAGCTACCCAACAGCCACAGTCTGACGCGACCGCATCGTCAGAAGTTGTTACTGTGCTTGAACATCGTCTGGCCGATGCCCAAAAGGAACTGGAAGCAGTCAATGCCCAGAAACTAGGAGCGGAACAGCAGCTCGAGAGGTTACGAGCCGAATTACAAACAGCTATTTCGGAGCGTGATGGCGCGCTACAGAAGCTTCAAGAAGCTGCCGCTGTAGGTGCATCATATGCCAATGGCCCCGTTTCAAACGTCGATGGCGCGGAGAGCCAAGGTGTTGCAAATGGCTTGTCGGATGCTGAGAAGAAATCGCTGGAAGAGAAGGTGGCCGCAGCTGAAGCAAAGGCTGCTGAGTACGAGCAAAAGGCCAACGAAGTTGAAGCTAAGATTCAGCAAACTATCAAGGAGCGCTCGGATAGGATGAAGGACACACTGAATAACAAGCTGAAAGAGAGCCGCGCCAAGCTCGAGGAGGAGTTTAAGAAGAAGGATGAAGACCTGAAGCTTCGATTCGAGCAAGAGAAGTTGATCTGGCAGGCCGAGAATCCGTCTGGGTCGGCAAAGGACGCACCCGCTGGTGAACAGGCACCGTCAAGCGCACCACCCAAGACTGAGGAGCCTTCGACTGCCGCTCCTGCCACAAGTGGACCGCCTGACCTCTCTCAGCTGGACGATTCATCTATTCGACAATTCTTGTCCTCCAACGCAACTGTCAAGAACATCATTGCCGCTAATATTCGCAAGAAGTTGGACACAGAAAGTGGCCGAATCAAGTCCGAATATGAGAGCAAGATTACAGCGGCACGCGAGCAAGCTCAGCTCATGGAGTCTAAGAAGTCTACTCTACGCATCAACATGGCGGAGAACAAACTGAGGACCGCGACAGCGAAGCTTGGTGTTGTCGAGGTGGCGGCAAAGGAGACGCCGCAGAAGCCAGTGGTGGAAGTTTGGGAGGTGGCCAAGTCGACTCAGGCTCCTCCGCCAGTGCAAGCAGCCAAACCTCCGGCTCCAGCTCCGGCGGCAGGCCCAGCTTCAGCCCCAGCAGCTACCTCGCCCGCGAAGCGACAATCTGTCTCTGGCAACGTACCAGCTTCAAATGCCGCCCCTCCTGCCGCAGCCACGGCTGGCCAACCCATTAACGATGGTCCAAAGCCTGCCCCTGCAGCAGCGGCTCCTGGACAGGCTGGTCAACCCCCAGCAGAGACAAAGGCTCCGGCCTTGGCTGCGCCAGCGGCCAGCGGAATCCCGCCCCCTCAGACTTCAAATCCGTTTGCTGTGCCTGTAACCGCCAGCGGCTCTGAAGCTCCTAATCCCTTTGCTTCAAAGCCTGAGACGGTGACTAACGCTCCACCGGCTCAAGCTGTCCAACCATCAGGCTTACCGCTAGCACCACAACAAGCACAGCTGCCGCAGATACCACCTCAACCCCAACAGGGCCAAATGCCTGTACGATCTGGTATCCCGATGCCTCGCGGAGGCGGACGTGGACGAGGAGGAGCCTACATACCCCCTAGCCAACGAGCCGCAAGTGGCAACCAGGAGGGTGGACAAGGCCATGCTGGCCGTGGCGGACGTGGAGGCGGACGTGGAGGCCGCGGAGGCATGAATCCATCTGCTTCTGACTTCCAGCCTGGAGCGAAGCGTCCTAGAGGGGATTCCGAAGCCGCAGCTGGAGCCAAGAGAGCTAGAGGAGCTCACTGAGGGAGGCTCACATGATGTTTTCGCTATATGCAAGAATGGAGAGGGTAGATATTTTGGAACGACGCTTGCCATGTATAATGAAGGAGATGGGCTTTGACTCCAACTCAACATGATTGTGTTGTGTTATTGGCGGCGGAAAACAAGACTTATAAAAAATGGACATGGAGGTATATTGGGGGATGCATCAATGTATTCTAGCACTATTACTGGTGAATTCTGGATTTTGTTTCTTTTCTTCAATTTTTCGTAAATCTTTTCGTGACATTACTTGGATGTGAATCCATGTGTATGAGAATGCTGGATTATAGGATACTGCTGTTTAGGTGGCGCCCGCTGCTAATGATGGTGGGGCACAGGTTCTTGGTACGGAAGCCATCGGTGGATCGGCGCCTAGTGTGCCGGCATGGCGCAGATACTGCAGCTAAGAAAAAAAAAAAAACTTTTGAGGTTTCAACGATAAGAGTCTTGCGATAATCCCACTTCGATTACTTCGATTGACTGATACCTGGCACTGGGACAATCGACAAGAACTCCTGCTGCACCGCCCAAGACAACTCACAATCCAATGGTCCCTCCGTCAAAGAAGCGAAAGCTTCAGTCTGTTGCTGCGCCGGCTGCGAAGCGCAACAAGAACTCGGCCAAAGGCGCCGTCGCAAAACCCGGCAAGTCCAAGGCCAATCCTGCGCGCAAGCTCGTCGACGTTGCCTCTCTCGGCTGGCAGTCGGTGGGAGAGGAGTTTGGCGGCCTGGAAGTCATCGAAGGAGTTGATGTGGTAAGAAATGGTGGGACTGTGCAGTTTTTAGTGGCGGAGAAACAGAAACAGCAGCAGCAGGCCGATTCATCCGAGCAAAAACATCGACAGGGGGCGAGCAAAGCGAGCACACGCGACGACCGAGCGGACGAGACTCGCGATGCCGTCGATGAGCCTGTTGAAGGGCCTGGGGACGGCGCTGTGGAAGGCGAGAATGTCGATTCCGGCCAAGCTGGCGATTCTAAAGGTGGCGTGGAGGGCCAGGGCGGCAAAAAGAAAGCTGCAGGAAAAGACGGGGCCAAGAAGGACGCAGGCAAGAAGCAAAAAGCGCGGAAAGACAAAGACAACAACAACAAGCTGGCGGCGGCCGACAAAGAGCTACAGAAGCCCGCTTCACGCAAGCAGCAGCAAGGCAACTCGTTCGACGCCCTCATGGCCGTGGGCGACGCAGCAGCCGCAGAAGAGGCAGACATGGGTGCCTGGGTGGAGCTGAACCTGTCGACGCGCATCCTGTCGGCGATTGCGAAGCTGGGATTTGCGAAGCCGACGCTGATCCAGGAGAAGACGATTCCGGAGATTCTGGCGGGCGAGGACGTGATTGGAAAGGCGCAGACGGGATCGGGAAAGACGCTGGCGTTTGGTATTCCCATCGTGGAGAAGTGGCTGGAGCTGTATGAGGAGAGGCGGAATGTGAAGCGCGAGGGCCCGACGGCGGTGGTGCTCAGTCCGACGAGAGAGTTGGCGAAGCAGCTGTCGGACCATATCAAGGCGCTTTGCGACGGGTTGCCGACGGCGCCGTACGTGTGTACTGTGACGGGTGGGTTGAGCATTCACAAGCAGCAGAGACAGCTGGAGAAGGCGGATATTGTCATTGCGACGCCGGGTCGTCTGTGGGAGGTGTTGGATGGCGACATGAGCCTGCAGAACTCGTTTACCAAGATTAAGTTTTTGGTTGTTGACGAGGCTGATAGGCTGTTCAAGGCGGGACAGTTCAAAGAGGCGGAGGATATTATCGGTGCGCTGGATCGAAAGGATCCCGACGCGGAGGACGATGACGATAACGAGGAGCTGCCGCCACGACAGACGCTGGTGTTCTCTGCGACATTTGATAAGAATCTGCAGTCCAAGTTGGCGGTTAGAGGGAAAGCTCCGAAGGCGGGTGCTGGTAGTAGTGATGAGGAAAAGATGGAGTATTTGATGAAGTCGCTCAAGTTTAGGAGCGAGCCTAAGTTCATCGACGTCAATCCAGCGTCGCAGATGGCTTCTGGTTTGAAAGAGGGCTTGATTGAATGTGGTGCTATGGAGAAGGTGAGTTGCACTGCATTGTTGTTTTCGACTTTATCTTGCTAACAATTACTGCTAGGATCTCTATCTTTATACCGTTCTCGTTCTCAATCCCAACAAACGCACTCTCGTCTTTACAAACTCGATTTCAGCTGTCCGCCGTCTGGCCCCTCTTCTCCAGAACCTCGGTCTCTCAGTTCTACCTCTACACTCTCAGATGATTCAAAAGGCCCGTTTACGATCAATAGAGCGCTTTGCGGCTTCCAGAAACTCCATTCTCGTCGCAACAGATGTGGCTGCCCGTGGTCTGGATATCAAGGAGGTGGATCAAGTCTTGCATTACCACGTGCCTCGTCAGGCGGATACCTATATTCATCGATCTGGTCGAACTGCGCGTGGTGACCGTTCTGGTGTGAGCGTGATTCTGTGCTCGCCGGAGGAGGTCTTGCCTACTCGTCGTCTGGCCGGTAAGGTGCATGCTGAGCGGGACGGTAGCACCAGCCTTAAGCGCGAGCATTTCATCGAGACGCTCTTAATTGATCGGAAGATTGCGCAGCGTCTAAAGCCTCGAGTGGACTTGGCCAAGCGCATCGCGGATGCTGTTTTGGCAAAGGAAAAGGGCCACAGCGAGGATCAATGGCTGCGCAACGCCGCTGAGGAGCTGGGCGTGGACTACGACTCTGAAGAGTTTGACGGCAGCGCGCCGGGCAATTGGGGTGGCAGAGGAGGAGGCCGCAAGAAGAAGGAGAAGGAGGCGCGTCAGCTGAGTAAAGCAGAGATGGGAGCGCTGCGGGCACAGCTTCGTGAGGAGTTGAGCAAGCGGGTGAATCTGGGCGTGAGCGAGAAGTATATCACGGGGGGGAGAGTTGATATTGGTGCGTTGTTGAGGGAGAAGGAGAAGGGGACTGTTGGGGGGTTGTTTTTGGGAGGGGATGGGCTTTTCGGGATGAATTTATAAATGATTAGGGTGTAATTGGCACTGAGATGAGTTAAAACTAGCAAGTAGATAAAGCTGCTAATAGCATTTTGTTTCGTTGACTTTTGAAGATTCTTGACTTTATAATACTGGGCTATTGTGCTTGTAGTCCTTGCATTTGCGTCACACGATTCTATTGCTAGGCCTTCCTCTTTCGTACTTGAATATCCGCCTTGGAAGGAATCACTGAGCGCCCGATCCATTGCCGCTGAGGCTTTTTGCTAGTCATTTTGATGTCGTAGTCGAGGATAATGGTGGCTAATATGAGTTTGAACTCGTGGGAAACAAAGAATCGCGCTGGGCTGGTCATGATATATACGGTCAGCACAGATACATCTCAACAAATGAATCGTATATTATGCATCATACTCACCAAGCGTGTCTTCCATGGCCAAAAGCGAGGTGCTGCGGGCTTGTCGTCACCATTCCCAGTCCTCGCATCCGCGTCCCCTCTTCCGGCTCGTTCCTCTTCTCTTCATCGGACTTTGTGTCCCAGGCTTCTCTCATCCTGGAGTATCGCAGCGGGTCGTATGCCTTAGCATTTTCGTATAGATCTTCGCAGTGATGTGTCCCCTCGAGATTTAGCACGACATAACTGCCCTTTGGGAAAGTCAAGTCCAGGTCTGGATTGTAGACTCCATTTTCGGAGACGACTTTGCGTTCAACGACTGTAGCCATAAAGTTGCTCAGACGCTGTGACTCACGGATGGAAGAGTCTAGGCGGACGAGGTTTGAAAGAGCGGTTTTGGTCCAGGGTCCTGATTTGGGCTTGTTGGCTATGATTTCAGCACGGAGAATGTCGAGGATGCCGCTCTCGTGGTCAGAGGAGAGGAGGTCTTGCATCCATAGTTGGCCGGTCAGGACGGTGGTGTGGATTGCGGCAAATTCAACAGGTAGTAGTCGCTTAGACAGGACGACGGGATCAAGCTCAAACGTCTTGTTTTCTGCCAGCGCCTGTCTGATTGTCCAAGTGACAAAGTCCTCGGGTGGCACGTAATCTTGGAACTCGGCATGTCCATTGGCCTGCTTTAACATGGCATTGAGGCGTTGTTGAACCAAGGGCTGGACTACAGCGTCGGCTGAGCGCCAGTGTATGTAGTTGGCGATGCCGAGGAGTCGTCCGACGATGGGATGCAGGACTTTTGGGAGCAATTGGAGGATGAGCATGTTGCGGACAACGTCGTTTGAAAAGCTGGTCATGTTGTCGACAAATTGTTTGTTACGACAGAGTTCAGGCCCGACGAGGAGTCTGTTGATGACGCAGGGCACGATTTCCATCCACATGTCCCAGAGCGTGAATGCCTTCCAGTTCTCGGTGTCGTCTCCAAACATTGCGCTCACCACATGCTGAGTTTCCTCATCGATGTTTGGGATCACGGTAGGCAGATGCCGAGCTAGATGTTTTTGCATGACGCGGTTGGGAAACGGATCGTGGGCGAGGCGGCGGCCGAGGAAGTTGTATCTGGTGAAGAGAGTTGCGTTGTGGGCGTCATAAGTTGAGAGGATGTGGTCGGGCTGGTCGATCATCCAGGCGGCTTGGCTGCGAGGGAGAACGATTTCTGAATGGCGAGATAGAGGCTGCGGTACGATGAATGGAAGGCCATTTCTGCCAAACTGAATAAGAGCAGATGTGATCTTGTCAGTAACATTGAGTGGTTGGAGCTATGAGTTGGCAACTCACTTTTGAGTATCCCTCTGTGACCCATTGATTATAATTCTTGATGGCTCGAAAACTGTTAATGAAAGCATTGAGCATTCCACTCTTGCCCATGGAAGGGATCTGAATGGGTGGGTGGCTGGCGAGGTCGCTGACGAAATCGATGATGAACGTCACTACCAGGAAAAGAGCGCCAAAGCCCCATGCTTGACTCGAGGTCATTGAGCCCAGCAGCGCAGAAATAGCCATTGTAGATCTACTACATGAATTATTATGCTAGTTGGCTTGCTGCTCACTTGGTGGAATGTGCCGCCAACTGCACGGCTCCTCAAAAATATGTCAGAGACTTGGATAATAAATCAAGAGCTTAGAAAAATTGGCGTGTCGCGGTGGAAATGAAAGAGGAGAGGAGATTAAACTGTCTTGCATTTGACACAAATTACATGCATACAAGTTTTGGCTAAGATGTTGACAGGGGCTTCGGCAGGGAGGGCTTTTGCGCTCAAACCGGGCGGTTTGCTTGCTATGGAACAAGTATCCTGGCAGCTCTAGCCTGTCATATATGTAACCATATGTGCTGTATAGTTTTATCAGATGGCTACTTTCCACCAATCGCTTTTATCATAGCTACGGCAGTTGAAAACCTTTGCATAAGCCGATCGGAACAGTGATGATGCGCTTCCAAAACTATATCGTCTCATGTACAAACACATGCCTTGAACTTTTTTACACTACTCTGACATAGCATCTCGCTTGTATCTGTATCTTAATCAGGGATTTATAATCGTATTTCCCGACTAGAAGCAACCACTAGCTCGATCTGCAGGGGACAACATGTAGTCACTGCATGAAGCGATATCACCAGGCTACATAGTCATGACATCGGCACTAGTTGTAGGAACCAGGCACTAGTTCACTAATCGGCGGCTAATATATAGTATAAGTTGCTTCAAATGAGTCCAAGTTGCAAAGTTGTCCAGCACTATTCATTGTTTCTTATCAGTATTACCTCTAGATCATATAAGCTATAACAAGTAGGCTGAGTTAGCTATCACAAACTATTTACATCTTCCGCCCTACAACTACCTAGAATGTACTCCAAGACCCCGTTGAAACACCCTAGGCAGTCAGCAAAGTTTATTGTGCCATTGGCAAGGGCACAGTTAGACACGGAGAGACTACTGACTGAAGTTGGCTGCTTGATCCTCCTGGTACATGTTTTCTGCGCCTACTCTCTTGTGGTTAGCATAATGCGGCTCATACGGACTAATGCCGTGATGCCGAAGATTTATCTAGATAATCTCGATACGGTAATATCAGCTATTGCTCTTTTTGATAGTTGTTCCCTGTCAACAGGTCGTCACTTTTGCAACACGAGTCGAAACCCAATTGTCCTTTCCCTGTTCAGCTAGAGCTCCTGTTCTACAGCACTGTGGTTGCAGCCTGTTGAAATGAGCTCAATTGAGTTCCACTCTATCCCTTTGCAATTTTGAAGCATACGTTCATATGCGTCGAGGCGTGTTGAGGAGTGGCGCATGGAGAGGACCGAAGTCATAGACGTTGTAGTATTCTGCGAGTCGTTTGCATCGGTTTCGGTATGGCACTGGGACAGCCACTCTTGAACGAGTAAAGATGCGTCTTCGACTTGCTCTTCAAAAGGCTCGGCTGACTGTTCTGCATTTGTATTTGCTCCGTTATTGACATATGACGGATCAGGCACTTCTTGCAGGGGGCCGATATCGTGTTCAGAGACGGGATTGGTGTCTCTGGGGTTGAGTGCGTGGGATATCGGCGACGCCTGGTCCGCAAGAGAGGGTACGCTCGAAGAACTCTCCTGCCTGTGCGTGTCTGGTTCGTCGGCAACGGGTTGAACATTCTGCTTCATAATACTACTGACTTTGATATCGTGAGCGAATACATTGCCGCTGCAGTATTGCCCAAAGAGCGATTCTATTGAAATGCCTGCGAATAGCGCGTTAGTCAAGTTTCACAACCTGTGCGACTAGATTCGCCAATCACCTTTCTCTCGCCATGACTCAAGATGGAACGTGCAGGGCCAAACGTCTATTGGTTTGAAAGCATCAACTAGATTGCAAAGCTCCGGGTACGAGGAATGTCGCGAGTAGGGAAATCGGATGACTCTTGGAAGCGTTTCTCCGCCAAATTGGTTTGTAGTAGATGAGCCTGCTCCTGGATGGTGGTTTGCGATGGGAAGTATGGCCCTTTTCAGATCAGTCAATTGGATATCTTCGGACTTGATGTTCAACTGTAAGCTGCGGCTGGTAGCCAATGCGTTTGTCAAGAGTCGCGCGCACTCGGCTCGGGCTTCTTCTGTGGTGTTCTTCAATGCATCTATTCTGTGGACATGTTAGCCCAAATTGTAACTAGCCACTTTACCAGTACGCACATTTCGAGCAAATTTTGGAGATCGCTCGTGCTGGGAACTTCAAGTTCCATCTCCCGCTCCAAATCCTCGCCGCCTCCTCCTATTCCCGCTTCGTGCATGACATTGCCATCGGGAAATGACGCGATGACGGGCTGGATTCTGACCACTGAAGATTGTCTTGCGATGGAGCACATGTTGCCGCTCTCACAGCTGTGAAGACGCACATCTTTGTTTGCAGTCAAGCAGCCGGGCTGAAAAGAATTTCCACACATGAATCCGGACAGAGCAGCTGCAGTTGACGTCAAATGGGAGCCAAAGCTAGATCGGTCTGGGGATGCGGTTAGCGAGCTGAAAATGCGAAGTTTATAGTCGTCAACATGGATGGGAGAGTTCAGAGCTTTGGAGAGAGCAATCCAAACATCTTCATAGCCATAAGTCCATGATTGTATATGAAAGACTGTATCCTTTGGATACTGCGCGACCTTGCGCAGCAGCTCAGCGATGCCCTCAGCCTTTGTCTGGAAGGGAACGTTGTCGGTGAAAGAGGTGTCGAGATAGATGGTATCTAGAGTCTTGATGCCGCAAGTATACTCGATGAGAGTTGGGTTTCGAGCAATGGTATTGACAAACCATGGCTCACAACGCACGTCGCCAGTATAGAGGATTGCCTTGCCCTGCCCCTCAATGACTGATGGATATTAGCGAGTATAATTCGCAAAGGAATATGCTTCACTTACGGAACATGACAGAGCCAGGGCAGTGATTCGCATCGAAGAGTGTAACCATGAGCTGATTTCCAGGCTGAAGCTCGATTACGGTCGGAGATTCAAGGGGAAGTGGTTTCTGCTGAGAGTGAGCTGCCAGATGACTATTTTGACCCGTGATTTGGTGGACATACAATGACTTTGCTCAGATGCTTATAAGTCTGCTGCCGTGCCTCAAGAATGCCTTTGCTGTAGTTGATACGGCAGGGATAGCGCTCAAGGCGTAGCAGGATTTCTCGTGTAGCCGCAGAGCAGTAGACACTGAAGCAGCAAATCAGCACCAGTAACAGGTTGTTGGTCTTTGGAAGCTTACAATGGAGACCGCAGCGTCTCTAGCCCGGCGAGATGATCAGTGTGAACATGGCTGCTTGAAGTTTAGCACGTCTTTGCATAATAAATATGGTGTCGCTGGGATGAGATTACCTCAAGAAACACGCTGATGGAGGTGATATTCCGTCATGGTGTCGGAAGTAATCAACTGCGAACATGTTAGAGTCGTTCATTTACCGAGAGAGCAGTGATGTGCAAACTTCGTATGTCTGGGAACTCGCGCACCAAGCCATTGAATGTGGACATGGTAATGTCATGATGCTGTGAAGCAATTCAAAAAAGAAGAGTGAAGTTGATATCACGAGAAACGTGAATTGAGTGCAGCAGCCAGAAAGCTTTTACTGATGGAGGCGCTAGGACCGCTATAAACAGCGCCACTTTAGGCAGCACAGGCACTGGCGGGCGCCTGTTTTGCGCTGTAAGTGGTGAGTGCAGCGGCAGTGGCACGGACACATCACACATGTACCGTAGCTGGACGTCATGGAACACAATGCACATATAAATATTCTGCTGACACTACGAGATCAACAAATATTGCTTCATGCTGTACCTGATAAGACCATTTCATTCTAGTTGTCGTCTAAAGCCAGCAGCATTTAGGCCTGGCCCGCTATTCTGTCTAGTCAAAGTGAATCCGCCAAAGCTCTCGATCCGCTCCCGATATAAACTCGCTCCTCGTATGAAGCATCAGCGTATTATCGTTCACAATCACATCACCCTTGTCCCAACTATGAAAGTAAACGACCCGTCTATCATGGAGAACAGTATTGATGGCTTCACAAATCGCCTCGCTGTCAGCTGCTTCAAGCCCATCGATCCTGACATCCGTAGGTAGATGAGCCGTCTTCTCTGTGCCCCATGGCTCGTGGTATCTCAAGCACGGTTTCCCCGTCGTTGGATGCGTTTTGATGAGCGGAAGTTCCCTGATTATGATGTTGCGAAACGCGTCTGTCGAGACTGTCCAGGTCATTGCGGCCATGTCTTGCAGCCTCAACCACCCTGGAAGATGCTTGAAGATGTGTGTAGACGATGCAAAGAGCGTATAACCGGTGTCTTTGGGCGATGATGTTGCTCCAAGGAATATCTGGAATCTGAATTTAAAAACAAATTAGTCATCTTTTCCTCGGGTCATATGGTAGCTTGTTCTCCAGAGCCAACCGTCGCAACTTACCGAGGTGGCGTTGAGACGCGGACTTCCTCGCCACTCTCATTCGTCTGTCTAACGGTCCTGAAGACGCCATCGTAATGGAAAGGCATCGGTTCGGAAGAGAGAACATTGTTTAGGCCTCGTGTATCGGATCCCCGGTCTTTGACTTCCAAGAGGGTACCAAAGTTCCACTTCAGGGGCTTGCCAAACTCCTCTGCTTTTTTAGAGAACTCCTCTTTGTTGGGCTTCTTGACAAAACCACGAAGGATAACAGGAGAATTGATTTCACACAACGAGCGGACCTTTTCGACATTGACATCGTCTAATGACATGCTCCAGGGACCGTTGGTAGGTCTGATAAACCAGCCTGTTGGATATATCGGTTCAAAGACGACGCCACCTTTTTCTGTGCCCCACGACAACAGAGGTGATTTCTCGCGGTAGTAACTAGGTCTTTCGTTCTCATAGACAAGCTCATATGAATCATCCTTGTCGAAATCGGCCCGCCTACCCGTGGTGGTTGTGCCATCCAACTTGTACGCGACGGCACAATGCCAGGGAGTTGTGTAGCTGGATTCTGTAGGCAGCAAGTTGATTGAAAGCTTCGCCGCTCCGGTGGACGCATGAATAGACAAGCGGACATAGTCTTTGTACTTTTGTCCAATAGCATTGGCAAATGCCTGCATTTGATTTGTCAATTTAGCGTCAGATGAAGTCAAACGAGGGGTGAACGCTTACATCTCCACGAGCCAGCATTTGTTGAGCTATGTGCTCTACTCCCTGCCGGAATCTGGTCCCGCTCTCGTCATCTTTGAAGTTGTACATATGTTGGAGGTCTATCCCCAAGGCCTTGATATACCCCTTGTATGTTAATTGGACGTCTTCTCTCTGGCTGGCAGTCTCCCATGTCCAGTCAGGGCTACCAAAGCCGTTGAGCAGTGCTCGTCGGAAATTTGACGCGTTTGCTACATATGTCATTTCATCGAGTTCTTCAGGCAAAGTAATTGTAACGAGGTCTTGAAGCCGTGAGAAGATGATGTGTTTATGTCCCTTGGCAGTAGCAATGGCTCTCAGAGTCTCTCCATATTTCCATACATCTTTGTCGGAGACCCCAAGTAAGTCTATAAACGTTATGGAGTCAGTATCTCACTCGATGATTATATATATAAAAAAAGAAGGATTCCATCAAGGCGTACCATTGTATGTTAGACCATCCGAAATGATAGTGAGGTTTGCACCGGGGGGGTAAATATCTTTGATGGAAAGACAGATTGAGTTGAGATGTGCTAGAGACAGCTCTTCAGCTCTGTCAGGCAGCTTGCCCAGTACTTTCTCCTGTGAGTTGGGAGACTTGAATGGGAAGCCTGGGAGCGCCATCGGAATTGAAGCGCCAGCCTTGACATAAGAGTAAATGACAGCAAGATATTTCATAACGCCCTCATCTGCCTTGGCAGTGGTGTCAGTAGATCGCTTTAGGCTGTATCTGGTTATGACTTGAAGAATCTGGGAGGCAGTCTCGAAAGCGGCTGCATCCACGCCAACGGTCAAAGATACTGAGGGAACTGGGGTAGGACGAGGGGGGTTGGAAGAAGCCAATTCAAGGTTGGCTTCAGTTGCAGTAGCCTCAGCAGGCAAAGACTCGAGCTTCTCTGTGGAAGACATGGTTTCAATTGGAAACAAAGATGAGATGAATACTGATCAGTTGTTTGAAAGATTAGTTTAGGTGGAACATGCCGACCTTTTATAGTCGCCAATTCTTCTTCGTTGGAATAGCCAAGGCCTCTTTTCAATTCCCTTGCAATTGCCCTCACGGTGGCCGTTTCTATGTAAGCATCCATGGCTGCTTCTTACCGCTTGCAAAGGACCCCATGAAGAACCCCGCAACAGACCAGCAGCCATCTCGCTCCCATGTTTTCATCTGTAAAATTCAAATCTTCTTTAAATTATTGCCATATTTGGTAAATGTAGGATGTAGCGAATATACATAAGCTACAGCCCGGCCGCGGGAAGGCTATCCTTGTTAGCAGCAGATTCCTTTGGTCGGGCTGACTCTCGGTAACTGGCGGGTACCTGGAGTTACTGCTACGCTATGCTGATGCTTTATGCAGCCACTGCAAAGGATTGCTCGAGCCATTTCCCCATCAATAATTTAGGATTCGATGTTGCAACGTATCACTAATACAAAATGTATACAAGTCGTACTGCTTAATGCTGCTTGGATCTTGTGGCTATCCCTTTAGCTGCTGAGACTTGGCTTTGTCTTTGAAGTTGCAGTGTAGCTCAAGTGCTCCATTAGAACTTCACAAAGGGATTGAAAAGCCATGTCCGAAATTGTACTCATGTGCAATGACTTTCGCTATAAATGCCTGAAGCTCATATACTTGCAATGTCTGGTCGTTCGAAGCTCGCATCATGTTCCATGTTACCCCGAAGCCGATGCAAGTATAATGTTCCTTTGAAATGAATGTGTATGTATGTACAAATATAAGGTAAAATTATCCAGAGGGGGAAAATGGTTCGATATGCATGTGGCATACATCGAAATCCTTCATTTTCTCCTGTGCGGTATACTGTGCGGTATGTAAGAGCTGTACTTTTGCAGTAAGAAGAGGCTTACCAAGGCTCACGCCTGAACAAGTACCGATTATCCTGACGTTAGTATAACAGAGCGGTACATATGCTAACATGTAACATCAATTCTTTGCTTATGCTGGCAATGTCTTAGACGCGTCTTCGGTAAGTCCTGCAAGAGGCGCCGTCTTGGGATTCACGTGCATAGCTCCGTAAGCTGAATCGGAATAAGCCGCAGCTCTTCGATTAATCATAACATACTAATCCATAGGAAGCAAGTCCGACTGCTGGATCTCCGGAAGACCCTTGATGATTCCTACTCTATTTGATGTGGGTTGCCAAACCGTGGAAGCTGGTTGGTCAGTCTGATATAAAGCGCTACGGAATGCGTATTTCGGTAAGAGCTCGCTAGCACATGCTGCTTTTACCCCTCCTGGGGCCTAGATCTTTTGATGCCAGTAAGATTCAAGGTTGCATTCCAAACGCAGTAAGCTGTAGCTATGGATGTTCGGTTGGAACGAGAGGGATCTGCCAAAATAAGGATGAGCGGGGTTTGAAGTGTTAAAATCGTCTCTTGGTGTAAGTAATAGTAATACTCTATTCTATAGGAAGTGTTATATGGCTAATGGGACCGGAAATATTATTGTACAAGGTGACGGTATATATTCCGCATGTAATGACTAACATAGGTATAGAATATTCCAGTTGAGAAGACATTCGAACTCATTTCATATGTTCAGAACAGCAGTGGCGTTGTCTTTGCTCCTCAGTGTCTAAATGTCACTATGAGTGTGTGAGTGCAAGCGTTTACATGGAAGCCGAGTTGAAGCTGACTGCGTATGACCATTATCCCAGAAGGGTATGCTATGCTGACTGGCGCTACATATCGAAGGCCAGCCATGGAATACGCCTGCTCCGTGTCTCGTATTTTTGCGTATAAACTATTCATAAACCTTCAGGGTCTAGCACTGCGTTGTGTATAGCCGATTACCGAGACAGGAAACTCAACTACTCATTTCTTGTGTTAATTCAATGCAGGCAGATATGGAGCTGCCAGGTTCCCCGTGCCTTTTTTCATTTTCCCATCTTCGCTGTATCTGGCTTATATTATACGTAACATTGCCAGTTGCTTCCCGGGTTCAAAGGTTATTCTAGATCCCCATCCAATACTCCACTTTCATTGTCACTGATGTTTTCTGACACCGAGAATGAGAGTACGCGAATTGAAGCCAAGATTCCCCTTTATGGATATTGAGCTGTAGATACCTAGTCTAGCTTACACGCCAATATGTGTTTGCTCATAATTTTCTCCGCAAGAGTCCTCATCTACGATCCAGATTAAGTATTACTTAAGCGGAAGAAACGCAATTCACCGTAGATATTTGTCTATGAATGCACACCATTCTATTCTCCTCATCGCTACGCGCGTGTATCTAAAGTCCGAGTTGTTCTTAGTACTTGTATTGCTAAGCCCTTTACTCATATAATCGCATTGAACCCGTTCGATTGTGGGCGGCCAGATTGCACCAAGCCTTCCCATTCAATCCACTTCAATTTAGATTTGAGGGCGTTTCTGGCTCTGACAAAATGAGGCAGATCCTAAAACCGGAGCCGATATTAGCGAGTAAACATAAACAGACGGGCAGAGATTCTCACCAAGATGTAGTCCAGTCTGGTTTACCACCCAAAGCCTTGCACATGGCGCGGCTGCTTGCATTCGTAGGCGACACGTCTGCTGCAATTAGTCCATCGCTCGCAGATAGTGTAGACTTTTCCCGTAAAAGCTTCGCGGCTAGCTTTTTAGCTAGACCTTGACGTCTATAAGGCTCCTGTTTGTTGGTTGCGTGTGAGCCCGCGTTGACCAGAACTAGAGCAGGATCAACGTGATATACTAACCTCGCAGTGAATCGATATGAGTGAACCGTCTATTCCAACTAATCCCCACACTATCGGCGTCTTGTCTTCAAGTTTAATTGTAAGGTTTGGGAGATGAATTAGCTCCTCTCTGTCAAATTGCTGATTAGCTTCTTGTACATAACAGCTGGTCGAATTTGGCTTACGGAGTTCGAGGAATGTCCGTTCGGGAGCAAATAATGCGGCAATCGTCCAAACTGGCGCTCCCCCATTCCATTCCCGGTGGAAGGTCATCACCAAGTACCGGCAACTCGTCTCTCTTCATTAGCCATTTATCAAAAAGGCCTGAAGGCCTAGACTCGACTCTGCCGTCAAACGTTTCCAAGATGGACCGAATCTTGGAGTGAAGAGTGCCAACCAAGATACGTTCTGGGTTAGTGAATAACAGCTCTTTCCCGTATTCTTTGCGCAATCTAATGACTTGTCCGACCAATTCCGCTACTTGTTCCTCGTACGTCCCATCGTTACTCGAATCATATCCGTTGCGAGGGTGTTCTAGAGTCGAATATACAAACATCTGAGTGCCTGACTTGGAAAAGTCTAGGTATGCTGCCGTATATACATCAGGCCGGGATGAGAGTTCGGTAGCTGAGATGAAGATAACGCGAGCGTGTTCAGAAGTTCCTTGCGGGAACTTTGTAAATTGCAGCCGTCGTAATAATGGCAGCGAATATGGCAACTCGGCGGTAAGTAGCTCTACCAGCTCTTGCGGTACAGAGTCGAATGACTGCGTGTGGTTGACCATTTTGACTTGAACTTTGTCTGTTGCCCGACTGGCTCAAATTGTTCGAGACAGCACATCATTTAGTAGTGGCAGCTTCTAAAAAAAGTGGCCCCGATTTCGGACATGAGACAGTCGAATACCAATGAGTCAACCTGTGAACTCGTAATTGCTGATATCACTAACCAATTAGTTGGAAAAGAAATGCAAGATACAAGTGATGAAGATGACAATTTGAGAACTTCAAGTCAAAGGCCGTCCGGAATCGCATTCAATGGTTGCGAGCGCGCTCTAATGACTCTGACAATATTCCCGATTAGCGCTAGAACATGACCAACCCGCCAGAATTCAGCAAAGGTAAGACTAGCCCTTCCTATTTACGTCCTATAGTTATCTCAACTTGTGTTATTTTTGAGTGTTCTTTTCAAAGTCTGTATTTTATAGCTAATACCCAGGTTTTTATGACGGCTTTTCCTAAGCATATTATGATGGCATACATTGGTTTACTCACACGATATATATTGCATCGTTTCTAACTAACTGAAGCAATTGAATAGAAAATAGATAGCATGTGAAGAACTTCTGGCGTGAGGTTCTAGGGCCATGTCGTCAAACCGGACTTATCCGTATGATTATTTCCGCAGTGACTACGATTGCTGTGATTTCAAGACGGGAGTCGTGATTGGCAGGCAACTCCCGTATAGAATAGTAAAAGGACTCCAGCTAGGCCTAATAGCGTATGCTGACCAATTTGGAAAGACAGTTTTACGCATTTTAATGGACAGACAAGAGTCATCTAGATCTGTTACGCACAAACTCCAATACAAGGCAAGAAATTCCGAGAGGCGAAGAGCGAGGCTGCGGAGTGCGTGCGGACATTGCGGAAGAGGTTACCAATTGACTAAGCCGCGGCAGGTACAAGCGGAATTAAGCAACGGTCGACTTGTTTGCTTGGCCCGTATATTTAGATCTTCCTTGAAATTCGACCCTTGGAAGAAGAGGCGGCCGTTGGATACATTACAAAGTGATGGGCAACTTATCCCGAGCGAGCTGTTGGAGCAAAGTGAAACATTGAGATGAGTGCGCATATAAATTGTAAATGCTGGGCGTTTCCATGTAGTTTTCTGTATCAGTATTGAATAGACTGAATCAATTCGACATCGACATTTCAGTTTTGAACAGCGTAATTGCAACAACAAATAGACTTCTCGCTAGTTTTCGCTTCATCGGCAGATTCAAGCAATGGCTTCAGGAAAGATCTTGGTCACGGGTGCTGGAGGGAATTTGGGTGGATTGACGATTGATCTCCTTCTCGAAAAAGTGTCCCCTGAAAAGCTTGCTGTTATTACTCGAGATCCCTCGAAACTCAAGCGCCTCGTCGATCAAGGGGTTTCGGTGCACAAGGCGGACTACCTGGACTACGACTCGCTCCTTTCTGCGTTCCAAGGAGTTGATAAAATCATGTTTATCGGTGCACACGCCTTCACCGACCGCATCAAGCAGCACTTCAACGTCATTACGGCTGCGAGACAGGCCGGAGTGAAGCACGTCGTCTACACCTCGATCCAGCGCCGAGAGGGCTCGGGCGTGGTGCTGTGGGACATCACCGAGAGTGACACCTTCACCGAGCAGGCCCTGCGCGCATCCGGCATGGCATACACCATCATGATGCAGCCGTCTTTTTTGGAGACGTTTTTCTTGTATTTTGGTGCCAAGGCGCTTGAAGACGGCGTGCGTATGCCGTTTGGGAAAGGAAAGACAGCCCCTGTTACGCGAGACGACCTCGCAGCGGCCAATGTTGCTGTGCTGACGCAGCCTGGGCACGAGAATAAGACCTATAAGCTGAGTGGCGACGAGGCGTTTTCGTTTTCCGAGATTGCGCAAATCCTAGGCGAAGTCAAGGGCAGAAAGGTATCGTCCGAAAACATCAGCGAGGACGAGTATCTGGACTTTGACTTCCATGGACTAGAGAATGCACCGAAGCAGTTCCCCCTTTTCCGCTTAGCTTGGGTGAAGGCGATGAATAATGGCGATTTCGAGGAGACGACGGGAGAATTGGAGCGGTTGATTGGGCGGAAGCCGACCACGTTTCGTGAATATATGAAGAACAACTATCCCCCTGTGTAGATGGAGTGGATAACGCAGACTATATGTTGACTATAAATGGCTTTGTTTAAAAGAGATTTAAGGGGTCAAGTTCGCCGTCTATAGAATATATTGTGAGAGTGAGCTGTGTGTTGTAGTAATCATGCTCGAATGATCTATTCCCATAAGCCACTGTCGTAACTCTGTTTTGAAACCATCTTGCGCTATAACGCCATAACAGCTCACTTTCTTCAGCTCATTGAGTTTAATAGGCTGCCTCAGCGCTTGTGGTGCTTTGGAGTGCAAGCGCCAAACTATAACACAGTGAAGTGTGGCTAATCAACAGCCTCAACCAATCAGTAAATTATATGGCTGCGTAAGCTTTGCCATTAGATGGCTCTCACATGCGATTATAACTGCTTCAATGTCCCTCTCAAGGCATACAATGATGTAGTCACGCCTATTATAACAAACCCTTCCTATTTCTACAACACCACATTAAAACTCCGAAGACAATAAACAAGGCAAAATGACCAACAAAATGAACAAGATAATTCTCATATTTGGCTTTGGACCTCGTATCGCTGCAGGTGTAGCTCGTGCATTTGCCAGCAGGGGCTACAAGGTAGTAGTGGTTTCTCGCACAAAGAAAGCAATTGAGCCTGGCGACGATTACCTGTGGATTCAAGCAGACTTGTCCGATGCCTTTTCTGTGGAGGGCGTCTTCACTACGGTGAGGAGTAAGCTTGGGATACCGAGCGTGGTTGTGTATAATGGTAAGGATTTTGTTGGCTATGACAACGCGGAGTATAAGCTAAGAACGTCGTCTTCAGCTTTCGCCTTTTCCACAGAAGGATTTGATCAGCCATTATCGAGTGTAATCACCGATGCTCATATCAATACCTTTTCCGCTTATGCAGCGGCTCAACAGGCAATGAAAGGCTTCGCCGAACTGCCGCCGGATGCTTCCAAAACGTTCATCTACACCAGCAATAAGCTGCATCTGATGCCGATAGAGCCACTGGTTTCCTTTGGAATGGGCAAAGCGGCATCTGCGCACATGATTCACTATTTGGCGGAAGTGTATAAATCCAGTGGCTACAAGTATGTTTAACATTGTGATTGAACGGCCAATGCTGACAATGGTGCCTAGGTTCTACCACACAGATAATCGAGAGCTATCAGGAGTGCCCAGATACTACAACCCCAGCCCTGAAGCTCATGGCGAGCACTACTTGAGATTGGCAGAAGAAAAAGAGCAAGGTCCATGGAATAATACGTTTGTGGATGGAAAAGGGTATGTGAAATTTGATGAGTCGTTGACATTCGGAGGCCGTTTCCCCCTCCCAGGCTGAGATGCCTCTGCGTTTATACAAGCCGCTATTTCAAAGATGTATATCACACATGTACATGTATATACAATATTGAAAGTTCTTAATCAATCTTGACTCCTAGTTTGCCGACATTTCTGAGCCCCCAGAAGCTCACCAGCACCGCTACAAATCCGAGCCCACTGTTATACCACCAACCCGCCTTGTAGCCCTGGAGCAGCGCTTCATTCGCATTTGCTAATTGCGACGATGCTGCCACTTGCTGCGCAATGATTGATGTTGAAGCAATGCCAATACTCTTTCCAATCTGAGAAAGCATCTGAAAGACGCCGCCAGCCAGCGCCTGAGTCTTTGTAGGAAAAGCCGAAGTAACCACGAGATTTGCGATGGTGTATATGAGATCTGCGCCCAGGGGGTTTAAAGCCATGGCTTGGAAGACTGCGTGCCAGTAACTGGGGCCATCAAGACGGCACAGGGTGGCGAGAAGCAGTGGCGCGATGCCACTTACAAGGCAGCCAATCGGCACGGCAAGCCAAGGCCTCAGAAAAGGAAGAGAAAGGCCAATGGCAACATTCATCATGGCACCCGCAATAGGTGCTGGAAGGAAATACAGAGACGCCGTCAATGGAGAAAAGTCGCGCACTTCCTGTAGGTACAATGCCGTGAGCTGCTCGCTGGCATTGAGGGCCCCCCAGACCAAGAAGACGGTAATACAGACAGCCGTGAAAGGCGCATTTCTCCATATTGCGTTTGGTATCAGTGCTGGTCGGGAATTCCGTGTCTGGTGACGCATCCATAGCCAGAATAGCGGCAAAAGCGCGAAAGAAATGCAAAGTATTGCCAAGTTCGCCGGCTCGCGTATAAGTCTACCAGCATCAGATCCAGAGACCACTGCGAGCTCATACGATAGAAGAGCAAGTGCCGCACTGATAAGAAGACAGCCAAACCAATCAATTTCTCGTGCAAGACGATTGAGGGTCTCTCTCCCTAAGACAGCACCATCAATGTCTGACGGCAGTGCCCACAGAGCCAGAGCCAATACAACGATATTCAGTATGGCGGTTGTGTAGAAGCCCCAGCGCCAGCCAAGTGTATCGCTGAAGACGCCGCCCAATACGAGACCCAGTCCAAACCCAACAGCTTGGCCTCCACCCATGGCAGAGAATGCAGCACTGCGGATTCGAGGACTGGTTGCAGCAGGAAAGGCGCGCGCTGAAATTCCCACGGCGCTTGGAAGACAGAATGACGCCGAGATTCCAGCTATAGCGCGAAGAGCGATGAGTTGTGATGGTGTCTTTGCCAGCCCTGCCCCCAATGCACTGAGGGTTTGCAATAACGCACCCACGAGACAGAACCGTCGACAACCAAGGATATCGGCGGCGGCAGCACAGAGAAGCAGCGTGCAGCCACATGCCAGAGCAAAGGCTGAGGCTGGCCATAGTTGAAGCTCTGGGGGGAACCCCAAGTCTGCCGAGATGACCGGGATGCAGACTGTCAATAGCCCGGCCAACAGGTTGCTGATGCCGCTGATACAAGTGATGCAGACGATGATGGCAACGGCTCGGCTCTTTGAGATGAATGTATGGGATTCGACGAGCCCGTTAGGTTCAGACAGCTCCATCATCATGACTGAAGTGTGACTCGGAGCTGTCTCCAGCTCTATGGTTGAGCTGGTCTGCGAAGGCGACATTTTTGTTGATGGACTCCTGATGGGCGCTCAGAACAGGTGTATCGACTTAATACAGAGAACTACTCTGCATTGATCTTGTCGAAAGTGTCATTCTCGATTATGTGTTTTATATCGCGGATTAAATGCTTATAGTCCTGATTCTTCTGTTAGTCATTGTTCAATACGTGGCCAGTTGAGACAATATGTGGTCAGAACGGTTTCACAGCCACAAACCTGAGCCGCACAAGACTTGCAACACCAGTTGGATTACAAATGCAGCTTTCTCTTGTCAATGGTAAGAGCTGAATTATTATGTAAATTAATGAGTAACTGGAGAAAGCCACGCGTATAATACCGACTCCAATTGAAAGATGCCGAAATCGGTCAGCTGGTTGTGCCGATTGGCGGGCATTTAGTATACTTGATGGCCATAACCTGGCCGATCAATCAAGTGATTATGCCGTATTATTCACTGAGTGACAGTTTAAAGGTAAATATGGGTGCTTGGGTGGTTAGAACGCTAATTTCGAGCTTTTTAAGCCGTTTGGACGTGTTAACAAGAGAATCCATTGGTCAAATTAAGGCTCTCTATAATGGTCAAGACTCAAAAGACATGTAAAATCAAACTTGGACACGTCTACCCTCAATTAGTCCGAAGATATCCATGTAGATCTAAAATGCATGCGAATTACTGATATGCAAAGCGATACTCCGCGACTGCTGCACTTTGCAACCAACATCAACAGAATACTATGCAAGTTTGCCTGTAGCCACTCAAATGCTAGTCGGCAAGCCGGCAACGCCGTTCATTTTCGGAATTTGTACACTTCCCATTCAGCACTAGAGAGTTCTATATTAGCACTCGGCGTATTTACATGTACTGAAGTCTAAGTAGAAGTATATAACTTCATTAAGATTCTATGTCAATTAAGGCTTGTAACAGACGAATTCCATCTCAACATCCGTATTCAGAGGCAATTGAGCAACACCCATTGACATTCGGGTGGGACGTGGCTCAGGCATCATTTCTTTCCACACCTGCTGTTGTTTAGCTTTAAACCTAACATCTTGCCATTTCAACTAACCTGATTGACAAGAGGGAAATTCTTATCAAAATCCGTGCAGTAAATGGTTGCTTTTACCACATCCTTCAATGTCATGTCCTCAGCGGCCAGCACTGCTTCGAGATTCTTAATGACTTGTCTTGCACGATCTTGGACCTGTATGAGTCGCATCAGCATATGGCTCTAATTGAACAGGGTTATGGTGTATGTACCGTTCCTTCAACCATGGTGCCGTCTGGAAGGGCTCCTAAAGTACCCTGAGTCCATAGAAACGGACCTGCTCTTACGCCCTGAGCGAACTATAAAGCTTGTTAGAAGGTAAGGCCTGAAGAACTTGTAGATAAAGCTATACCAGATCTGGGATCGGCGGTGCTGGGGCATTTTTCGTAACGATATATTTTAAGGCCATGGTGACAGATTGAACTTTGTTAATGTGTGATGTCTTGAGATGCTCAATTGCGGCTTGTCTGCGAAATATATAGTTGATGGAAATTTTTATAGTTGTAATTATTCTTATAGATTGGAAAATTTAGAATATTCCCAACGTGAAACTACGTCATTTGCTTCGGGTAATAGAAAAGGCGGCTCGTCCGAACGTGAGCGTCGATATCGAAAGCAACACTGTATGCAAAGAAATGTGGCGTCCAACTGCACACCCTAATGATACCTTAGCAACAACAACTCTACAGAATTCACGTTTCATGCGGTGCCCCGTCGTCACGATATCCACTGTTTGGAATCTGAGAGATTTACAGAATTTCATCACTGTTTTCACTTAATATTTATTGATCATAATCCTCCAATGGTGTGGAAGATATAACAAACAACTAGACATTCCGGCTACTTCTCTATCTTACAGCAAACATCTTAATTCTATCGATCTGTGTATTGATATATCTGCTCACAACATCAATTACAACACTCAACATCCACCACCATGTTTTTAGTACTCTTTGAAGTTCATCCCTCAGCGGCTGAAAAGTCTCACTATCTTGACATTGGCAAGACGCTGAGGCCAGAATTGGTCAAGATTGACGGCTTCATCGATAACATTCGATACGGCTCTCTGACCCAACCTGGCTGGGTTCTGTCGCTCTCGACTTGGAGAGATGAAAAGTCGCTGGTTAGATGGCGAACCAAAGGTCTCCATCATAACGCCCAAGAGAAGGGTAGAAATGAAGTCTTCTTGGACTATCGACTAAGAATCTGCGAGGTTACGGCAGATACACACGTACCAAACGGACACAAGGTCCAAGAACAGCGACTGGATATCACGCGTGCAGGAGACGCAGAGGCAACTGTGCTTATCAGCATGGAAAAGACGGGATTAGACAATCCCACCAAAGAAGAGGCTCTGGAACGCCTTCGATTGGAGCTGAGCAACGTGAAGGGCCTGGTGTCTTGGGATGCGTTCAATGCTGTTTTGGATCCTGGTGATATTATCGCCTATCTGTCATTCTCAACAGCCAATGCTGCCGTCGACTTTCTCGAGACGCGGGAGAGCCAGAAGGATATCCGACACCGGGGAGCAAGGGTTATTCGAGACTATGGAATGTACAGGCGAGACGAAGCTCCGCAGTACTATCCAGAGGTTGAACGGAGAGAATAAGACGCCGAACTGTGATTTTTGCTAGAGCAATACTCTAGGGTTTCTATTACCTGTAATTAGTTATAGACCAAGCTCTTGCCATGGGTCGTTCATGATCAGCCTGTAGCGGTCGAAAGCCAAGAAATAAATCTGAACCGATGCTCATATGCTTTTTGTATATTACGGTGCACCACATCACCATAGGATTGTTTTGTCCATCGTTTATTAAACAGAAGAACGAAAGTTCGTCGTCGATTTGACAACCCAGATGACTCAACGTCGTTTACGTTACGATCTCTAAATATCGCATCAGCACGATCATTTACAAGCCAACTCGAAACAAAAGGCTAGGTAGACGCACCGCCGTCAAAAGTCCAACCGACTGCGCTTGTATCTGTCGATTGTTCCCCGCCTGCAGCCTCAGGGGCCGTGAAAATCATTGCTTCTCCACGTGGCTGGCCAACAAAAGCGTACATGTCTACATAGTTACTTTGCCACCATACTGTTTTCAACAGGTTGTTTTCAGCATCCAGCGTGTCAAACGCCCGTTTCAATGTCTCCAACTTACCACGCGCATCTATGAGCGACTGCTCTAGCTCTTGGATGCGCTTCGCTTTGCGTTCTCGATATATCCTTTGGGACACTCGATTTTGAGCTCTCCGCCGCTATCACGTATCAGCACTGCAATTGTGTCTAACCATTAACCTGAAGTCTTTAGCTATGTACTCACAGTCCTGGCTGCTGGAGATGCATTCTTGAAACGGGCTTCGCGCTTCTGGATCGCACTTTTCTTGTCACCAGACTTATCTTCGATAGCGAGACTATGAGAAGATGCATTTGTCTCTCTGGCAGCTCCATCAGGATATGGCAAACACTTAAAGACTGTCTTCTCTAACCTTGCAACGGCTCCACTCTTTACTGGTGTTAGGACTCGGACCAATTCTCCTCACGTTCGGGGTAGACTATACCGAGATTAAGCATTGATATCCAACGACATTCTGCCTCAGTGATGCGTTTACTAACTCAATAGGTAGGCCTTGGCAAAGCTCATTGGAAATTCTAGGTTCATTTTGTGGTTTCATCGTCGGCGAGAAAGGCCGTGGTCGCCCACCAATTGAAGTGAAGTGTTGAATATGCAACAAGCGAAGCTCAGGAGCGATTATGTACCTAGGAAAGTAATTTTGACAGTAGGGATGGAGTGTTGTTATGTATAGGCAAGGACCCTTTATATATTTATTAAGAAATAACAAGTCTATAGCGGCGCGGAGAGTTTATGACAAGTGACATGCAGTAAACTTAGGTACGCCCGAGCATTTAGTATAAAATATGCATAAAAGCAGAATTGGCATTCAAAAACAAAGGAATAACCATCAGGAGGAATGGGACTTTAAGATTATCCAGCGTTGTGATGATGAAGTCATTGTTTAAGGATCAGGATAAGATCTTCGATCTGCTGCGCCCGCCTTGTATATGCAGTAGACAATCCTGCACAAGAAATCAAGACGGCTGAGGAGCAGCTAGGCCGTAGTAAGTTACACGAGCTCTCGTGATTCAAAAAAAAATACACTTTCCGGCTTTCATGTAGCTCTGAATAAGTTTCTCGCAGCACTTATATCAGGGGTCTTGCCAAGTATAAACTTTGCTAGCAATTCGGCACAGAAAGTTCAATTGCCAGTTGACGATACGAGTGTCAGTTACCGCGAGCCGTATTTTTATGGTTACGGATATTTATCCGGCAATTTGGCTTCGAATATGCTCAAGCTAACTTGCTATATTAGATGTGTGGCAGACGGAAAGACCCTCTTCACACAATGTGAAAAGTCGATAGATCTGCATCCATAAGTATTATTTGTACGATTATCTATTCCGAAATGAGCTAAAATGATGACTGATATCTGATATGTGATAACTCGAATGCCGCATCATGCAGGTCGGTATGAAAGCAACCTTAGTGTGACCCGTTGGGGAGAAACACATCCACAGACAGCCGCTAGATATCGGTGTGGTCAAACAGGAGCGCCAATGTCAGCCTAACCATCTCAAGCATCAATAATCTAAATCCATTAACTAGTATTAGGAGCTTCTTCTTCTTCATAGAGCAGATTCTTCCAATCAACTCTCACTTCATTGATGCAGTGCAGTCCTCGTCCTCGACAGTGCCATAAGAACGCTAAATGCACTACACTTTGGAGCTTTATTCATGACATCTCGTGGGCTTTGCTACCAAACTATGCCAAGTTGAATGTGAAAAACGTCATCGGCCTTGAATCAAGTACCTAATTGAGATTAGTATCTACTAGTTACTTTAACAGAGCCGTTACTTCATGTGGCTATAAGATGAATTCCCTAGAGCTTGCTTTGTATATAGGTACTAACCGTTGCTCCATATATGCTAAGCATTGTCTTCGCCATGTTGTTTTAAAAGTGATCCCATGTAGCTTTGTAAACTGCGAACAATTGTACTGGGTCAAAGCCGACTATTTTCCGATTATACAGTCTGCATTTACTATATAAACTCACGATGGCATGCTATTCTTAAAGAGAATTTGATATCATCAGTTTAATACGCATTCAATTTTATATTACTTCAAAACAACACAAGAAAACGAAATTCACCGCCATTCATACTATACATTTTTCTTCGACTCTCAAAATGTCTCTTGAGCAAAAGAATAAGAAGATTGTTGCCGATTATTTTGACCGCTACTGGGTCAAGCGCGACGTTTCGGTTGTGGACGAGCTTTGCTCTGACGACTTTGTCCAGTCTTATCCCAACCATGGGCCACGGCATGGAAAGGAGGGAGCAAAGAAAATGCTTTCAGACTTTACGCAGGTATTTGGCAATCAATCCCACTTGATGCATGTCTTGACCACACAAGAGATGGCAATGGAAACTAACAGTGATGGTAAAAAATAGGCATTCCCAGACTTGACTTTTAGACAATATCAGACGCCTTTGATTGCCGAGGGAGACTACGTAGCTGCCCAGTGGGTTGGGGGAGGAACTCACACTGGGACAGCCTTTGACGATATGGCTGTTGGAAAGCTTGCTACTCCAAACTCTGGAAAGAAAATTTACTTTAGTGGCATGACGATTTTTACGCTGAAGAATGGTAAAATTGTCAAGGAGATTGCTGAAGAAGGCGGTTTGACTGTGCTTCAACAACTCGATCTCGTACCGCAGCCAAATCCCGGTAAAGAGATCAAATGGGACGAAGAGGGCAACCAAATCTACTAGGTAGTTTTTAGCCGACTTCACTTTTAGGTATACATGTAGGTATACTTGTAAAGGGAATGGACAATCGGCAGAGTAGTTTTAGAAATATGGACGTTGTAACCCAAACGAATCTATGTGCCAGTTGATTAGTGCTCAACAGACTCAAGCTACCTACGAACACCGTCATAAAGGCGAGTTTATCAACCAACTCCAATTACATGCATTTCCCATGCCTAGCACTATACATCTGTTAATGTAATGGCACCAGCCACCACATAGCTCCGCATGTAACTTGTTCGTTGCGGTGCGCCTTCTGAACGAGTCCGGCCGACAGCCCGGAGGTGTGGAGAAACGGGCAAAGTGTGATTGGCGGAGATTCCGGAGGCGGCAGGAAAACTTTTGAGTTCTCGCATCAACTCGGGGTAGAGTTATAGAGCAACAGTAGTAGCGCTAAATGCAGATGCAAGGTGAGTAAGAGGCGAGGATATGCCGCCACTTCAAAAGCAACTGGATACCTAAATTTGGGTACATTTTAACAGCTGCTTATCTAAGAATCCGGCGTTAAGAGTGCACGGTGTACTGATGTGGGCGTATCGTGGCTTTTCCTTTGGTTGACATTTACGGATAATATGGAAGCTAGGCCATAATTCAACATCCATAGCAACTACACTGTGATGGATTTTGATGAAAAAGTGTAGAGAGGCTATTAGTGATGATGACGTAGGAACTTGGTGGTCAATGGTGTTGTTGTTAGTGTTCTGTGATTTGTCCAAGATATATAAATGCCTTCAAGGACGAGATATCCTAAAGTTCAATTCACACGATATCACAACCAAGCATCAAAGCAGAGATATATACACAACTCAATATTTTCCATCACCATGGTTTACCCGGCTATCGAAGTCACTGTTGTCACCGTCGGAAATCGCACGATTGAAGATGAATCAACTGAAGATGGACAGAAGTATATGAAAGCATTCCATGCAGCAGCAACAACTATTCCTGGCTGCTCTCGTGGATGCTGGGGCAGAAGTGATAAATATCCAGACAAGGTTATCCATTTTATCGGTAAGCTTGCTAGTCCTGTGAGCAATCGCAATGATGATAACAATCCATCTAATGATTGAACCTTCAGACTACGACACGCGTAAACAGCATGATGTCCACAAAGCTCTTATTAAAGGACCTACGCCACCAATTCTTTTGGATGTCCAAAGCAATGAGACTGTCTATGTCATTCACCCAAACACTAATGACCGCAACAAAGTTTACTATGCCCCATACACTACAGTTACTTTCTTCTGGGGAATACAAGAAGACAAATGGACTGATGTTGCGCCCGAATTCTTTGCTGCTGTGGCTAAATCCGATGGCTGCACTGGGTATATCTGGGGTGAAGTGGATACCCCCATTTTGGCCGACTTTGATGGTAATGCGTCGCTGGGCAGTCGAAAGTGTGGAATCTTAATCACCGGTTGGCGCAGCAAGGGCCAGCACGATAATGATAACAAGAACCCGCGAGTTGTCAAGGCCTGGGAAGCTGTTCAGAAAGTCTGTGCCAAGGCAGATGATTGGGGGACGACGCTGAGGATCACTGAGAATACCGGCCATATTCACCGATGGACTACCCCTTTGCCATTGAAGGATCGCTCTGACTGGCTTCCAGCAGCTGGGATGATTTAATTTGGATGGTGTCACTGGCGAGGTTGGGAATATAGGATTATGAGAACATGATATGCTTGGTTGATTAGGTCTACATTTTTAAGTTAATCCGGGACAGTTATAGCTCCAGCGTACCTCAAATCAAGCTAAAGTTGTTACAAGCGTTGCTAGCTACGTTGCTCTAATTGATGGATAATACACCGTTACTCCTCTTCTATTGTAGATTCATACCATATTTTGCCACATGATAGAGAAGCAATGCGGCTTTGTTCCGAATTCATGGCTTTGCAGTGACGCGGAGAAGCTGCCTGGCTAGCAAAGCGGTATTGAGGTCAGAAAATAGGTATTTTCTAGCCATTTCGGGTTTATGTTTGGCATCTCAAGCCGTAAAGTGTGCGGTTTCATGCCTAGATGACTCTTGTATCATGTATGCCGGATTACTTTTAGGAAGGGCGGGCCGGAATTTCAAGACTCAGACTAAGCAGACACAAAGGCCATCCACATTCGGTCGGACTTGCGATGTAAATTGGCTCTCTGGGAGATGAATCAGCAAAAGAGAAGACTAGAGATGGCGGCTCTATGATCGGGGTGCTTCAGGCAGCCGCTAGCATAATATCTCTTCTGATTCACCCCTGTGTTGTAATGATGGATTTGGAAGCTTTTCTGGACATGGCCTCTTGTTGAGCTATTGGCATTGGCCAATTCCCAGGACAGCGACCCCAACAGATTCATGAACTCGGAGCAATGTGGATATCCGGTGGTAGGCCATAGCCCGTTTATATATGGGGGCGGTTGGTTGTTGATTTGCTCGTTTAATCGAGGGTGAAAAGTAGTGCAAATCAGTGCTCGTGGCCATGATATATTGCAGACATTGCAATATTCATGCCAAGTTTCATTGTAGCAGTCGATGAAAGGAAAATCCGATGGTATGAAACACGAAATGGCTTGCTTGGGATATGCAGTGATGGGCTGTCCAACCGGTCGAGAAACGTTGATGGGATACGAGCAGTGTAGAAATAAAGACTGGCCACTTTGAGTTCCGAAAGAGCTAAAACGTGAACCTTGAAATGTTTCGGCGACTCGATTGATGGCCCTTGGTTCTTGGCTGCAGCGTCAGCCCGTTGACGTCGCTGCTCTTGCGCGAGAGCAATGAGAACTGCCGCTATATATGGATCTTCCGCTTTATTGGTCGGCTGTATGTTGCGCAGACGTCGCTGTCGGATTGCATAGCCCGGATTATTCACCCTCTTGAAATGCGTGGGCTTGATTGAATCGTCGCGTCTTTCGCTTACAAGGGGTAGATCGAGAAAGGCAAGCCATCCGCCAAAGGGGCAGGAATTGCAGACAAAAACACCGGTCAGTTTGAAGGGTGGCAACAGCGAGTTGGTTAAAATAGAAGTCAAGGCTGGAGCTATCAATGCGTGGCCCTGATTAACAATAGTCGGCAATATCAAGGAACGTTGGCGCAACTCACTAGGCGTCTAGGCGCATGCCGCACCCTTGTAGCATCGTTTGCATCGCATAACGCTTGAAGGAGGGCGTAGCAAGGCATCGAATACGACTCAATGTCGCGCAAATGGCAGAGTCGGCGAGCAGATCTGGGTCAAAGCTGGAGTCTTTGTTTCTGGTCCTGCCAGCTTTGCCAGCTTTGCCAACGGTGAACCGGCAGCCAAGCAGCTCCAACTGCAGCGGCTTCCATTGCAAGGGCGTCACAAAGAGACGATGTCGGCTGTGCTGGCGGAGGAGGCCGTTGATGGACAAGGGCTCGGGGGGTGCGAGAGAGGCTGGCCATGACGCGTGGCGAGGGCGCTTCTGCGAGCCTCGTGCATCGGTTTGTGCCTTTCGCTTCAGGCTGCCGCTCGGATCTGGCCGTGGCGATGGCTTTGCCGGGTCGGGTTCTGAGAAGGGGCCGCTGATTTGAGGATGCGGCGCGTTGAAGAGCGCCAGTTCCGCCATTGTTGTGGACGCGAATGGGTGGATTGTCGGCATTGTCTGTAAGTGGTTAATATCTACACGTGCTGTGACGCGTACTGTGCGGTGTCTCTGCCTTGACCACCGTCGAATCATGTTATTAATGATGACGACAACGAGAGCTAATATTTTGATGAGACTCGCATGGATATGGATGAATAGACTTGAGTGCAGTGTCCCTGGGATCCTACTTTATACCAACTACCTAGTATATAGTTTATTATAACTTCCAAAGAATATTCATCCCACTCAACAGGCCTGTAATACCAGTATAAAGGATCAGAATGCCATATCCGCTCCCATACCCTCCTATAGCCTTTCCTCGCCAAGGCATGCTCTTGATAAGAGAGTCGCTAAGCGGCCCCGAGAGGATATTACCCACGCCTCGCCCGACACAAAGACAGCCATGCACCATGATGGGATCGGCATACCCGTATCTATCACTCTCGCCTCTCTGAGAAACCTCTCTCATTATGCCAGGCCAAATACTCGCCCATGCCCCAGCGAAGAAACCGTAAAAGACGCAAAACAGGTATAGCACCGCAAGAGACTCCGTGAGTCCCCATATTACCAAGACAGATATGGCTGCCCCAACGGCGGAGATGAACATACAGGTTGTGGCTGCAAGCTTGTCGCTCAGCAAGCCCATGACGATGAGGCCAATGGCTATGGCCATGTTGAATAAGATGATTGTCAACGCTGCTAGGAAAGTTGAGGCTCCAAAGGTCATGCGGGCATATGTCGGTAAGTAAATGGCTGGGAGAAAATAACCTGTCGCCTGGATAACATTTGCCAATTGGTATAAGATGAAGATCTTGGATGCCACGAATCGCAAGTTGAGCGGCCTGCTGTGAGTAATCGGCGAGTACGGCAGTCTGGGCTTGATCAATATGGTCAAGGGGAACGAAAATACGAATAGAATGCCCGCGGCAACTCTCGTAGCGTTCTGGAATCCGAGGTTATCAAGGAGGGCCTCGAGGGCCAAGGGGAGAAAAACTCCACCCAGGCCTGCTGCGCTCCAAACAATGCCGTAAGCAAGCCCTTTTCGCCGAACAAACCATTCGTCGATGTATAGTGTACACGGGCAGTAAGCAATACAGCTGCCGGCCCCGTACAAGACTCCTTGGGTCACAATAAGTTGAGGCACGGTGGTGCAAAAGGAGCTCAGTGCCAAAGCTAAAGAAGCGATAACGAGGCCAACAGGAGTGAACCAGCGGGCTTGGCGAGGGTACAAGCGGCATAAGGCAACGACAAACGGCGTTCCAATGTACATGATTCCCTAAATCCAGTCAGGCCATGCAAAACCAGTAGTAATGGGGCGTTTCACACCGTTGTGGTAGTGCCGATGGCGGCGATAGCACCGGAGCCCGCGAACGGAGCATGGGAACTATAGTAGTCCTGGAAGACACCAAAGGAGAAGCCAAAGCCTATTTTCGTTGGTAAGCCTTGAGAATGGATTTTAGTTACTGTGCAAGATCTCACCAAAGGTTAGAGCCTCAACCCCCCAGCAGGCAGCCAAGAATAGCCACGCTGCTGCTCCAGTATCAACAGGCGGCAGGGAGAATTCATTATTGAAGGCTTGAGGCTCGGAACTGGCACCTAGTACATCCAGATCCTGGTTATCGTGATTCAGTGTATCCGCATTCACATCGCGGAGCTCGACTGAGCCTTGGGCCATGGGAAAAGAGAGCCTAGTAATAAGCCCGCGGAAATCGCCTTTGTCAATGATACAATACACAGCTTTAAAAACTGACAATTTCTTTGAGAATTGGAAAGACAAGGAGGAATAGTAAAGAGGAAGAATTGCTTTTTGCTTGCTAGCTGACAAGCTGGCTTACATACTAAAGGAGTAAAGTTTCGGCTTCAACCGGTATCGGGAGCGGGGGCAATTTGTTCGGTCCGAGCCGGCGACCTTTTAGAGTTTGTGTGGAGTTGTCGGTGTAGTTTGACGTTCTTCGCTTATAGTCTGGTGAAGTTGATGTTTAGAAATGGGCGGCAGCGATGCTTGTTGGTGTCGTTACATTTCGTCTCACTGGATGCTTTTTACATGTATGCTGTTAGGTTAGCAATATTCGACATACTGATGGAGGACAGTTTTATAACTTTTTTCTCTCCCTTGGACCCAATTAGAGAACTAATCGTTACTCTTTCGCCTGTTTCACAGTCGATCTGCGTTGTGGCCATCTAGTTGTAGTATCTTGAGACAATGACAATCAGAGAACGGTACATAATAGGAAGAAGAATGTTTTCCAGAACTTGAGAGCAGCGACAATCATTTGCAATGCTTGGCATGCAAGGCTGGCAGCATGGCGTCGCATGAACGTGTGTGCACGGAACATTTTACACGCTCCTAGGCTCCAATTGCTCAGTTTCAACTGCCTGTGGTCTCATAGAGCCTGTGTCGTACGGGCAGCAACTCTCTCAGGATCTCATCAAGTGGTCGTCCTAGCCTGTGCGCATTTCGCAGCAAAAGGTAATCCTCGAAAGTCATAATCAACTTCTTCTATTGTCCTGCCTCCTCTAATATTTTTTTTCCGATCCCTTGTGCTCTTCACCCAATGGACCAGTAGTCAGGGTGGACGGTCCACGGTCTCGGCAATGAATCCTTCGGCTTCCGCCAAGAAAATCGGAAGCGTATTCGGGGTGGGAGCGGTTTCGGGGCGGAGAATTCGGGGCGCATTTCATATGTGGATAAATAATGTTGACACTTGATCATCTGGTATCTAAAAAGGTGAAGAACCTCTAGTTGTTCGAGTCTTTGAGTGTTATCGTAGACCGGGCAGGAATTGAGCTGTAAGTGAATGAATGCAACCACCGACTTAATCGCGAGACACACAATCCAGGCCTGCTAGCCCAAGCGGATAAGTCCCTCTTTCCTTTTCCTTTCCTTTTCCCCTTTTGAAATAAGCCATACTTGATCTCGATTTTCCTACATATAATACGTGCGTCTCGGCCTCCTTTCCGGTCAACCTTGTCTTGGGTCGGAGTCGGAGTCGGAGTCGGAGTCGCTCTCGGGATGCTCGTCCACGCCCACTCTTCAGCCGGAGCGCGAAACATTTGACAAGGTCTGGACTACTTGCAGCAAAAAATGCGAATAGTATTCCTCTTCAGTTATACCTAAAGTCGAAGATGAGGGGCATCCAAGTGAAGCCTACGACGCTAGTTTTCCAACAATGTCTAAAGCAAAGAGCTCGAGTAAATCATGTTACCGAATAATAAGCGATGTTTTCGGATGCTGCTCCAAGAGGGCCGGGTGCTAGAATTTCGCTCAATCTTCATGTTTTGTAGTGACGGAGATAGTTTATTCATATGTTGCATTGGCCGTAGTTTCGTATAAAGGCTAAAGCTGTTGATATCCTGACCAATAAGCTTGCTTCATGGCACTAATAGCAGGATGTATATCGTTTTCGAACTGCAGCGAGATGTAGGTCCAGCTGTCTGTGTCTCGCCGTCATGCATTGTGGGCACTCCTGCGATCAACTCCTTGTGATGGGCAATGTAGTAGATGTTGTATAGATACTGTAAGTGTTGTGTATGCTGTAATTGTGGTAGATGTCGTAAATGTAGTATACGTTATAGATATCGTAAATGTTGTAGATGCTGTAATTGTTCCGGAGAGAAACTCGGATGCAATGTCTTTGGAATAGCGATAAATGCGGATGTAGGTGCGAGTTTAATCTTGATCACGGCATAGTGCTAGATGCCTCCATCATCGTTAGCAAATTGACGTGAATATCAGCTTTGATGAAAGACAAACCCGCTTCGGTAGCAAGAGAATCCTTGTCATCTCTTAGGCAGACCCTTGTCCTCTGTGTAGATGCTTCCATTTTTTGGCCCAGATATCCAGGTCTTTTGGCCATGGGATGCAGTGCAACACAGTTTCTCTTGACGCCAATGCATTTTCTAGAGAGCAGGTCGTATCCTGTCTGAGTTTAATACCAAGAAAGTCCATAAAAATCGTGCCCCTTTGTTAGCGGCGTGTAGGTCGCAGACATGGCAAGTATTCGCGAATCGACAATCTGCCTATGGAGCAATCGTAGTGTCTCCAAATCATCTGAACTTTGTGCCCGATAATGACGATATCTTGGTCAATAAAATCGAAAAGATTTGCGCGTGCATCTCTCCAGCCATGGAAGCTCTTGCTGCGAGAGGAGCCGTTCCAGCCTAGATTCGGGGCAAGGCGGGAGTTTATCACAATGTTGGAAAACTTACACCATGCTCCATGTAATAGCAGATGGGTAAGCGGTATGAGAGGGCCGTCCAATGATCGGAAGACTGCGCCTTGAATATCCTTTGGTGAGAATGAGATGTTGAACATTTTGTCAAATGTAAGACTTGCTCTGCGTTCAGCCGTTGCGTGTACCCTGGTGGGCTGCCCGGATGAAGTTACTGATGCAGTAACACGGGCATTGCCTGCTGCCTCCAAGCCGAAATGACCACATGACAGGAGGAAATAGGCACCAGTGTCCATCACCTCAGCCGTAACGCAGCATGAAGGCAGCCAGTTCACTTCACATCAATATCAAAATGCATGTACATGACTGCCAAATACGTTTAAATATAAAAGGATATAATAGCTATATAGAGACCTTGATGCTTAACATAAAAAGCAAGAAATGTTTACGAGTAACTTGCGTAAAGTATAGCTTATAGTACCTAAGGATAATAAGACTAAGGAACAAGTGTCGGAAACCTGCTGCCCCTTGATCATACCATTATCCCACTAATTGACTTAACAATTATCTGTATCCTTCCGGACAATAACATTCCAGGCATCGGTGTAAAATACCTGACCGGCTGTAACAACCTCTGGTATACCGGCGACAACAACCGTAGCTTGACAATTGTCAGTGATGACTTCAGCGCCATCGGCAATATCGCCGAAATCTTGCAACGTTTTCGATCCCGAATTCTATAAAATTAGTACCGCATTATTCTCCATTTGATAATTTCGAGTACGCAAAAATGACACTCACATCGTTACACCACCAGATAGCAGACTGATATGAACAACTGACCCTACCGCAGTTTCCAGGTCCTGGGCCGTTTGTGGGCTGCCCTCGGACTCCTCTCAAATAGCTAATACCATCTTCGATGGTAAACAATGAGGTATAAGGCCATCGAGACCAGCAAAAATAGGACTCTACAGTGTAGCGTTTTTCTCGCGCTCCGCTCGCTCCACGATGTCGCGATTGGAGTGGGTACTCGGTTGTGAAATTGGGATTAATTTTGGTGAGCTTGTCGTAGACTTGTTCGATCGTGCCGTTAACAAGTACAGTTGGACCTCCAGGGGTGGTCTCAACCTCCCATTGAAGCTCTATGACACCATAGCCCTCAATCGGAGCTTCCAGACCGTAGACCTAACATAATCGCTGGGATATTAGTGTATGTGATATTTTTAATTGCTAGGAAATTTGGAAATAGATGCATACCCTGAGGGCAAGTGTTATAAACCAACCACATAAGGATTCTTTTAGTATATACCTTTGGTAATACACCGGAAGGCTATAACTAATTAGGGTGTAGGATTCCCTCTCTTAGTAGAATATATACTTACTTATAAAATAAGAATATAACTCTAGGAGTGTATTCTTATTAGGTACTATAAGACTTATACTAGTAATAATTATAAAATAACTTACTATATAAGAACTATTTATTATATTTATTAAATAAAACTTAAATAGTTAATTATTAATATAGCACTTTTAAATAATAATTAAATTAGTTATTTATAACCTTATTAGCTATATAATTATATTACTTATTAAATCTTTTATATTTTTTTATTAATATAAACTAATACCTTAGCTTATAAATTAAAAACCTATCTTATACCTAAGTATAATAATATAAGTTAGGATATTATATATTAATAACTTTTATTTAAAAAATACTTATAATCTCTTAAGCAAATTTAAACTATTATACCTAAAACAACTAGATTAACTAGCACTTTTATTAACCTAACCCCTAAGACTATTTTTATTTTTACTTAAAATACTAATAAAAATATTATTATAAAAAAAGCTCCTAATTAAGATAATATATCTAAGGATTAAATTAAAGCTTTCTTTTAAAATATATTTAATTTTAATAAGCTTTTTATAAAAGTAATTAAAACTAAGAAGTTTATAAGTAAAAACATAAGAAGACTTATTAAGTATTAACTACCTTTTATATTTAATAAAAAAACTAGTAAACTTTATAACTTTTAAACTTAACTTAAGGCTTATTTTATTAACTTTAAGAATACTATTAACACTAAAACTAAGAAAGTTTCTTTTATAGCTACTTACCTTAAAGGAATTACACTTAAATAGTTTTACCTTATTTAAGATATATATCTTAATAACCTTACTAAACTATAGCCTACTTATATTAATAAAATCTTTATTAACTTTTTAAAGTTTAAAGAAGAACTTATTAAAGCTTTTAAAGATATTAAAAAAGTATAAATAATTAAAAATAAACTCTTAAAAATCTATTAAAAAGGAAAATACTTTAATTATATTATAAAATTTAAAAACCTAGCCTTTAAAGTTATTTAAGGATAATCTACACTTATTAAAAAATTCTATAATAAACTTAATATAAAAGTTAAGGAAAAGGTTTATAATATTAATTAAATTAAGTATAATTTTATCTTATTTATAAAAAAGTATATTAAAGTAAATAACCTTTTTTATAAACTTAATATAAAGAATTATAATATATAAAAAGATTAATTAAATAAAGGTAAAAATTAAAATAAATAAGTTATTAAAGATAATAGTAGTACTCTAGGACTTATAAATATTAGTATAATATAAAAAGAAAATAAAAAAAAAAAAGAACTTTAAATATTATAATTATAAAAAGCTAAATTATATAATATATAACTATAAGTTACTTAAAAAAAAAAGAATTCTTAAATTAAAAAATAACTATATTATAAAGAAAAATAATAAAAGTATTTATATAATAAAATACTTAACCTTATCTAATAATAAAAATAATTATAAATTTTATTATTTTAAATTTAAACTTTTAAATAACTTTAAAATACTAAATAAAAAACTAAAAGCTAAAATACTTAATTAACAGCTAGTCCCTTAAATTAATTTTTAATTTATTATTTATTATAAAAAATAATACCTTAAAGTAAAATAATAATATTAAATAATATAACTATAAAACTACTAATAATTAAAATAATAATATTTAAAAAATATATAATAAATTTACTTTAAAAATATAAAAGCTTAATAAATTTTATAATAGTATTATAAAAGCAAAAGAACCTATTAAAAGAAATATACTAGCTGCTTTATATAAATAGCTAAAAGATATATAATAATAAGAATTTAAAATATAACTTATCTTAAGAGCTATAACTTTAAATAAAGTATAATTATATAATCTTTTATATTATTATATTTATAAAGACTATAAATATATTAACCCTAATTATTTATTATATTATTATATTAATTAAACTAGTTATATTACTTATATATATATAAAATACTTTAAAGAAAAATATAATAATAATATTTTTTTAATATAAATTTTATTTACTACTTATAAAAATATATATTATAATATAAAGTTTTATAATTAAATATTTATTTAATAATATTAATCTCTTAAAGTTATTATATTAAAACTAGGTTACTATAACTATAGTAAAGGAAAATTATAAGAATATAAATTAGTATTTTATAATTACTATAAAACTACTAAACTTATAAAATAGTAAGACTATAGTAACTTAAAATAAAAGTATAATTATAATAAAGGATAATTTAATTATAAAGACTATTTAAAGCTAAAATATAAATAATATATAAGTATAAAAATTAACACCTAGTATTATTTAAAAAACTATAATAATTTACTATAAAAAGGTAATAAAAGGACTTAAGATATATAATATCTTTTAAAAAGAAAGAAAAAGAATATAATAATAATAATAAAAATAAAAAAGTAATTAAAAGACTTTTTTTTAAAGTATTATTAAATAAGAATTTACTTATAATTTTAATAAATAGTAGGTTAAAATATAATTATATATTTATTATAACTATAATATACCTATAGTTACTAGTATATAAGAAAAAGAAACTATATTAACTTTAATATATTAAAGAATAAAACTTTTAGTATAATAATAAATAAATTAAATAATAAACTAATTATTTATTAATAAATTTTAAAAATTATATTACTAAAACTATATATAATATAGCTAATATTTTAAAATATAATCTTATTTTAAGTATACCCTAGTTATGTAAATATAAACCTAATATAAACTAGAAAACTAGCTAAATTTATTAATAATATAATAAAAATCTAAAAGAAAGGAAATTAGGAAGCTAAAAACCTAAGATTTTCTTACTGCCTATTAATATACCCCCTTAATATATTAAGAAAAAAAAAAACCTTAGAATAATAAATATAAAGATATATTATAATCTTATATAAAGAATTAATAATATTAAATAAAAAATTATAATAAGTTAAGCACTTAAAAAACCTAATAGTAAAAGTATTAAAATAATACTAAAAATATAACCTTTATAAGGATTAACTAGATAAAGGGCTATTATTATACTTAAAATAAGATTATAAAATAGTTTTAAAAAAAAAAGTATCTCTAAAGTTCTATAAGATTTATAACCTTAGTAAAATTAAACTTAAAACACTTAAAAAATAAATTAAAGTATAACTTAAGAAGGGATATATTAAAGTCTTAAAATTACTTATTAAATACCCTATTATCTTTATTTTAAAGAAAAATAATAAACTTTAGTTAATTATTAATTATAAAAAGTTAAATAAAATAATTATTAAAGATAAAACCCTACTACCCTTAATCTTATAAATTAAAAATAAATTATATAAAAAGAAATAGTTTATTACTTTTAATCTTATAAAAGCTTATAAGCTTACTAAAATAAAATAAAAATATAAATAAATAATAGCATTTACTATAAAATATAAATTATATAAATATACTATTATATTATAAGGTCTTATAAATACACTAGTATTCTTCTAGAA